AATAATGAATGGATTTCGGTTAACATATATTTTATCATCTATAAATCTAGAATTAATGTATTAATTTTTTATTAATTTCGTGTGAGTCCACAAGATAGTGTATGTAAGTCTGCAGCGTAGGAAATTTAGGAAATGTAGGGGGCGGATGGGTAAACCGGTGTTAGCCCGGAGCCTCGGTTTGTCTCTGCGAGTCCTTCGTGTTAAAAGCATCATAACCAGGGAACCTTGAGGGGAGGTGGGTTAAGGTTCAGGGATCGGGAGGTTTGGGCGGCGGTGTTAGATATCCTACTGCAATTGCCCGCATTGCAGTTTAACAAATGTGGTGCACGCCGTCAAAGTTTGGAGGGGGAGAGAGAGAGAGAGAGAGAGAGAGAGAGAGAGAGAGAGAGAGAGAAAAGAGTCATTAGCAGGATTGATCGACCATTTGGGGCTGAGGGGACAAAGACTAATAAACCTTTTCCCTTCCCACCATTTCTCTCTCATTAAAGACCAAGACCTCCCTCGGGTGGATACGCCCCTCTCCTCCCCCGGCAGCTCACTAAGACTAAGGACCGAGCTACGGCTGCAACTCCGTTCAAGTCGCCCAGTTCTTTTCACCATCAATCCAAACCCATCCTTCTCATCCCCCACTCAATTAATTCCTCCCCCCGGTATGGCCTGCGGTTCGAGCCGCCTTCCCTGGCCTCTTTCTCCGTCCCTTCCACCACCATGACCAACCGTGACCCCGAATTTCGGCATCAGCTGGGCAAATTCCGACTCGATCCCCTACCGATTCCTTCTCATCCTGCATCGCTTCCTCCTCCCCCGCGTCCTGCTCACCCCAGTTCCGTTCCTTCTCCGCAGTCGCTGCCGCCGCCTGCATCCGTGCCGCTTCAGCAGCAACAGCCACTCCCAACAGCACCACCGTCGCTCCCTCCGTCTCATCAGCAGCAGTCTCAACCAACCCCGGCCTCATCGCGATCCTCCCCCTCACAGATTCCTCATCCTCGCAGTAAACGAGTATCCACGGCGTGCGACTTTTGTCGGAAACGGAAGAAGAAATGTGACTTTCGCTACCCGAACTGCTCCGCGTGTACTCGCGCCGGTGTCCGCTGTACAATCCCTCCGCCGGGTCCCCAGGTCGCCGCGGCGTCTGTTCCTCGAGATCAATTGGAAAATCTACAAAACCGGGTACGATGGCTGGAGGAGCTTTTGCGCCGCAAAACAGGCATCTCGGTCGCCGACCGGCCTACGGGGACTGCGCTGGATGGCGAGGGCGACCCGGACTGGTGGTACCAGGTACCAGCCTTGATGATGACTCGCGGGAGTTCAACACATTCAACACCCACAACGACGGCAACCGCGCTGTCCAGCAGCCCTGCTCCTAGTTCCACTGCGGTAGGCACCGAGTTGCCTAACGTAGGTGAGTTGTTTCGCGACCAATTGGAGCATCGACGACCCTCCATCGCGCGTCCGGTAGCATCCGCTCCTCGCGTGATGCGGCTCGCCTCGCTTCCAGAGGCGAAATCAGTAGCATCGCGATACTTTGATAGTCTGGGGTACCAATACCCTTTTCTCCATCGGGAGGAGTTTATGGCCCATCTTGATCGCATCTATGCGGGGGAGGTCCCCGCACCGGAGGTTCATCACTCGTATCACATCACCATCGCTACGGCCTTGTTGATCGGGTCTGCCGACGAGACACAGGCTGCCGAGTTCTACCATGTTAGCAATGAGACCATGGCACTGGCGTTGCAAAACGAAGATCTGGCAGCTGTTCGAGCCCTTTTGAGCGTTGCTGTGTATACAATGTTTGCGACCACGGGCCCCAGTGTGTGGCACATCCTCGGGACTACTTTGCGTCTCGCCACAAGTCTCGGGCTGCACAAAGCCCGTCCAACGGGGAACGTGATAGAAGAGGAGATGGCCAAGCGGGCGTTCTGGAGTCTCTACAACCTTGATCGACTAATCGCCAGCACTCTTGGAAGGCCACTTGGAATTGCAGATGAGGACATCTCCATCGGCTTGCCACGGGAATTCAATGACAATTGGACAGAGACCCCGGGGGCTAGTGCCATGACTATTCCTTTGCAGGTGGTGCGCCTGCGCCGGATTTTTTCGCGGATCTACCGCTACTGTAAGTCTTTTCTAATTTATATGGTGCTCGCCGTGTTCAGTTCCACTGACCGTGACAGTATTTAACAACCAACCGTCACCGCCTCCAACAGAGGTTGCCATCACGCTCAGTCATTTCCGCCAGGAACTAGACGACTGGCGACAGGAAGCACCGGTGTATGCACCCGCGCTTTTATACTCAACAAGTTACTACGACTATCTACATGCAACGACACTGCTCCTTATGTACCGACCTAGTCCGCGTAATCCGACACCCGATGCCACAAGCATCGTGAGCTGCGGAAACGCCAGTATCCAGGTCATTCGGTCCTACTGGGACAGCTACTCGCAGGGGAAGCTGAAGTGGATTTGGTTGACCCTCAGTCAAGTTTACTTTGCCGGCATTACAATCCTATGGTGTCTAAACCACAATCTCCAGTCCGTCCGCGAAGGCCGTGGTATTGCGTGGAAGCCCGAGGATCAGAGCATGCGACGGGCTATCCAGGCAGTAGTTGTTCTGCTGGAGGAATTTGGCAAGCGACGTCCGGGGGTGGACCGACTGGCGGAGACGTTCCGCAACCAGAGCACGATGATCTTCAGCCATCTGGCGTATCAGCAGGAACAGCAGCAGGAGCAGGAGCAGCAGCTTCAACAACAACAGCAGCCACAACCACCACAACCACCACCGCCTCCACCGCAACCACAGCCACCAATGCCACAACATCAACCATTCCTTGAACAGCAGCCGCAGCAACAACCACAGCATATTTTGGTAGCACCACCGGTGCCCCTAGCGCCGGTGCTGGATGACGTTCTCCTGGTAAATGGATCGGGGAATATACCCATGATTGACCCGCAACTGGCGGAGCAATTATTTTATTCCTATGATTGGTTCCAGGAGGAGATGGCGACATATTATACCCTTTAGTTGGATTTTTATGACAATTTTGGAGGCAGATTTCTGTATTTGAGCTTACGGCTGTTGTGGTGTAGAAAATGTGGAGGCGCATTGCTACCCCGCTGTAGATAAAACCCCTAACAACGCTTATCTTCTGTCAAACTCCATCACAACATCTTCATTATCATCATTATCAATCCCCCCAACTATTACCGCAGCCACTCCCCTCATGGCTTTTGATACACCCGAAGCTCAAGCCTTCCATGGCACCTTCATTCACACACTCAGCTCCAATCAACTTGAGATCCTTACTGAGACTTTCATCCTCCTCTCACCCACTGGCACCATCCAAGCCATCCACCCATCCACCCCCACAACTTCCATTTCAGATCTCCTTGCAGAATACCACTACTCTGAATCTACTTGCACAGTGACCATCTTGCAGCCTACCGAGTTCTTCATCCCCGGCTTCATCGACACGCACACTCATGCGCCCCAATGGGCCCAGCGCGGCACAGGGCGGGGCATCGATCTACTTACCTGGCTGGAGACCATTACCTTCCGCCACGAAGCCAAACTAGCCGATCTGGAGTACGCCAAGTCGCTTTATGCGTCCTGCGTCCGCGGTGGACTCAAACAAGGAATGACGACTGCCTGCTACTACGGTTCCCGTCATGCACCTGCATCGGTCATCCTCGCTGAAACCTGCCTGAACCTGGGTCAACGCGCGCTGATCGGAAAGTGCAATATGACTCGTCACGCCCCGGACTGGTACCGGGACGCGTCGGTGGAAGAATCCCTCCACGAAACGGAAGACTTTATTGCTCAAGTTCGGAAACTTGATCCCACACATGGACTAGTGACACCGGTGATTACACCGCGGTTCGCAATATGCTGTGAGGAAGAACTTCTGGCTGGGCTTGGGGCTGTCGCAGACCGAAATCGTGACTTGCCCATCCAGACACATTTCAACGAGTCGCGGGGCGAGGTCGACTTTACCAGGTCCTTGTTCCCCAATGATAAGACTGAAACGGAGCTCTATGAGCGGCTTGGGCTCCTGAATGACCGGAGCATCCTTGCTCACTCGATCTATCTCTCCGATGCAGAGATTGAACGTATGGCGGAGCTGCAGTGTGGGATTGCTCACTGTCCTATCCCCAATGTTACGATGGATGAGTTCATGGTTGCCCCCGTGCGGGAGTATCTCCGTCGGGATATTAAAGTTGGCTTAGGTACTGACTGCGGAGGAGGGTATTCAAGCTCCATGCTTGATGTGATGAAGGCTGCCTTTGTGGTGTCGACGGCACGGTGTACAATGACGCAAGGACAGGACCAACCTCTGAGTCTCACGGAGGGGTTCTACATGGCTACTCTGGGCGGAGCGCGGGTATGCGGACTGCAGAGGAAGGTGGGGAACTTCCTGGTGGGCAAGGAGTTTGATGCACTGCTTATTCGGACGCAGGAGGAGGGCGTTATGGCGCCAGTGCAGGAGGAAGACGGAGTGCCGACGGTGTTTGAGAAGTTCTTGATGACTGGAGATGACCGCAATATCGGACGTGTGTTTGTCAGGGGACGGGAGGTGCATACTGCGCGTTGAAATAATTGTCATGTATTGACTGCTATATTTATCGATATCTGGAAAGCATTGCGTGTACAATCTCATTGTGAATGGCTCGTTCCTTATAAAAGTAGAGAATCGGGTGGAGACGGGGGTTTGATCCACACCTCAGGCACCGGTAAGGCTGAGCCCGTTTCCGGTTTTGTTTCACAGCCTCGTCCACCACTGCTTTGCCCTCTCCACTTCTGACTGGAGACTCTCGCTCCCTCCTCTGCTTTCCCCCCCTCCGTGGCAGGGGTTTTAAGTCTGAGCCCCCAACCCTCCTCCCTCAGGATTCTGCCTTCTTTCGTTAACCCACCTCTATATCCTTGGGGGAGTCTTCTTATCCTTATTTCCTTTCCTTATGGCCTCCTAATCATCCCTAATACTAGTCATTCGCGATCGCCGTTTCTTGAAACCCACTCCTCGATAACGGTTCCCTAATAACGGCCATTCATTCGCTTCACCCTTCATTTCCTCCCCACGAACTTCTTAAAGTAATAACACCATGGCGGAAGAACCTCAGGTCATGTCGATCCAGCAACGAATTGCGGCACTTAAACAAGCGCAAGTTGGTCAAAGCTCAGGAATCGACACCAGCGAGCCTGTGCTTGTCCAGCCCACTCCAATGCCCATCCGTCCAGGTGCTCCCCCGCGACCTAAGACGTTCACCACCACCAACAACACCAACGACAGTCATAATAACCATGCTGCTGGCAGCAATGGCTCTGTCTACAATCATTCATCCGTCTCAAATGATGCGGTCCCTCCTAGACCTGTCCCACGTCCCGCTACTGCACCAGCACCGCCCCCAGTGAAACACAAGACGCCCCCTCCTTTGCCTGCTCGCAAGCCCTCCGACCAGCAACGCCCAGCACTACCACCGCGCAGACCGACGCAACCTTCTCATAAAGGCTCATTGGAGTCTATGGCCTCAGATATATCTAGATCGACAACTACAAGTACCGGGAGGACATCGGCTAGCTCAATCAATGCAGGCCCTGGCCGCTCCCTGCCCCCCGCTTGGGGCGAGGCTGAGTTGCCTCCGTTGCCCCCTAAACGCCAGCCACAACCACCACCGCGGCCGACGCCCACTACGAGAAGTAGTAGCAATAGCAGCAGGCTATCTCCACCTCGTCCGTCTTTGCCCTTGCGGCGGAAATCCAGCCAGAGCAACTACTCCGTGGAAAGCAACGATTCGCAGGCTTCGCGGCTGCCTCCTCCACTGCCGTCTAGGACAACAAGTGACAGGTCGCTGACTATCGACGAAGAGGACGAAAAGAACCCACCGCTACCAGTTCGGAGGCTGCCCCCGCCCCCGCCTTCTAACGATACGCTGGGTAAGCTCAAACAATCCGGTTTCGCGGCGATCAATAAATCTTTTGGCAGTACCAATGGAGCTGTCAATGAGCCCAGCTCCAATGGCGTGCCCCCGCCTGTCCCCTTGGCATCGCGTCCGGATCTCTCTAAAATCCAAGCTACGAAGCCTCGTTTGTATGCTTCCAATGCGCCCACAGTGCCAACACCGGTTGCGTGCCTGAAATGCCGCGACTTCTCAGCTGCCGATGCCCATGCAGCTCGATACCCGCGCACGTCTCTCCCGACACACGACCTGTCCTGGCTGGCGAATGAACTCACGGCACCGTTCCCGTCTCACACGGACAAAGCTCGTGTCATCTTCACATGGCTCCACCACAACATCGCGTATGACGTAGAGGCCTTCTACAATAATCGGGTGAAGAGTCAAACCCCAGCCAATACACTCGCGACGGGAATGGGTGTGTGTGAAGGGTATGCGGGGTTGTTCACTGCGCTTGCTACCCGTGCAGGTATGGAGGCGAAGACCGTCCACGGTCACGGTAAGGGTTATGGATATGTGGCTCCTACTCCTGGATCTCCGCTACCCCCGGTTCAAGGTGGCCATGCTTGGAACGTCGTCAGGATCGACAACGGGCAGTGGAAGCTGATTGACCCCTGCTGGGGTGCTGGGTGCGTCTTTGGCAAGGGGCAGCCTTACCAGCCAAAATTTGACCCGGCCATGTTCACGGACACTAATGATGAGCTGGGGCTGAAGCACTTCCCCGAAGACCGAACGCAGTTCTACCGTGACGATGGACGTCCGGAGATCAGCTGGCAGGAGTACCTTCTGGGTAACCCCAGTTCACCGCTGTGCGTTGAGCAGCCGGTGATCTTTGGGGAGGCGGAGAAGCACAGCATTGGAGTGCGGTCCTACCGCCCGGCTGCCAAGCAGATATCAGTGCACCAGGGAGGACCGGTGCGCTTCCAGTTCGGTCTGATCTGCGAGCACTGGACGCTGGAGTATCACACGCGGGCCAAGCCGGGGTTATTCCTACTGATGGTGAAAGGAGTGGACGGGCAGAAGGAGGAGAGTCTCGTATTTACACACGTGCGGGGATCGAACCCTAACGGCGGGGGAGATATGTGGTACGTGGACGTTCCGGACTCCAGAATGCTGGGGGCGCCGGGCCAACAGGTGCCGATAGTGGTGCTGACCCGGTTCGGGGATCGAGCGGACTGTCGGGGGCTGACAGCGGAGGAATACCGGAGGCGGGTTGGTCGGGTGCAAATGGAGTTTGCCTTCATTGCACAGTGGGATCTGGTGTAAGATGCGGCAAAGGGGGTCGGCATGGGCAGCCGGGTAATTAGGGTTGGCTGCCCTGCATGGGCTGAGTGTCTAGTAGACTAGTGTTTCTTCTTTTGTCTCTGCGTGGCTTTTTTGGCTTTTCCCTTCCCCTCTTGTCCCGGCTTGGGGAGGCTTGTGTCTCACCCCCGACAGCGGACATGGTTTGTCCCGACATTTTCCGTAATGATAATGACCCTGGTCGTATATATATACACATAGCCGCACATGAAGATGCGATTTTGGATTTGCAGCCAACCAGCCTTTGATTGCATTACTCACATCACTTGGTACAGCGGGGACAGCCTGGCTCTACTAGTACTTGTTAGTATAATAGGGAGGGAAGCCATTGACGGGCGGAGAAAATCCACGAATCAGCCAAGGGAGCTTGAGTGGATGAGAAAAATTCAAACGTTAGTAACCAACGGTGCTGGAATCCAGCACGTTAGAGAGTCCTTGGCGAAGGCTAAAAGGAGGGTACAATGTCGGCTAAATTCCAGTCCCATGTCATGGTTTAGTTGACCAGGAGTACTACAACTAGTAGGTAGCTACTTACTAGTATCATGTTGGGGTGACTGGGGTCCCCCGCGATTATTGCATGAGGGATTTATCTACTTGGTCATTCGGGAAGCAGATGGAAGAGAATTTCAAAGAATGTCTCAATCACATCATAGCCGACAGGTGATGAGAAACTGGCAATATGACTGGGGGTAGTAATTAAAATCTTGTGAAAATATGATACGGAGGGGCCCGGGGTGTTTCCATTATCCAAAGCAAATCAATGTTTCCTGTTCCTGTCTTCTTGTGACTGGTTGTGATAGGATACTTTCCGTAAGATACCCACCCATACTAGCCGGTCTAGGGAAGGTCTACCATGGCCAAGACCCTGAAAGTCGAGATTTAAGCCTAATTAGGCTCTGGGCCGGGCGAGAGCCTGATTGCCTGTGAGTCGAGTCATGTGCTCTGGGGAAGCCGGTCGGTGTCTCTCCGCAATCTCAAGTCCCCCATCCTCTTCTCCATTTCCCCCCGAACTGGATCTCGTTTGCTCATCTTCACCGAAATTTAGCTATAATCGGTTCATATTAGATTACACCTCTGATTCGAGTCAGTTATAGTTACACTGTCGCTGCACCGTCCCCGCTGGCATTGCGTTGCTGGCCTGCAGGAATTTCCCAATCTACTCCGGACTGTATCCCGCCTTGGCCGGGAAAGGGAAACGACAATGCCGATCCACCCAATCCCCGGAATCCTCCACCTCCACCTTCTCTGCCTCCACGCTTACGCTGGATCGCGGCCTCCGACTCTCGGCTGACCCGTCTTCGGTCTTCAGCCTTCAGGGTTTCCTGCCTTGCGTGTCCGATGGCTTTTCTGAACGTGCTGGCCGGCTTGGACCGCCGCCCACGCTTTCAGCCACCTACCCGACTACGGTCACATTCGGCCATCCCGATGAAGACATACCGCTGAAGTCGAGATAGAACGTGCCGTGCATCGTTCAGGTCGGGTGGATTCTGGATCATTCTCTCGCCCCCTCCCCATCTGCTTCCTGATGGCTCGTTTCATGCCCACTCGACCCTCCAGACCATGTGCTTGCCCCGGTTTTTTCCCATGCGACAGATGGGCTCACGGCCAGCCGACTGACCCATGGGCAACGCCCCCCATGTCAGCTCCTGGTGGACCGCCTTTTGCTGCATGCATCCAATCGCTAGTCCAGCTGAACCTTGACCTAACCGGATATGCCTGTCTCTCCGCTAGTCAGAGGTCGGTCTAATCTCGCCTGGTATGGGTCTGCTTTGCCGTGCTAATCGGGTCGGAACAGTCCCTCTACCACCCTTTAGGTTTGACAATTCAACCGGCCATCATGGCGGTTTTCTGCGTCGACCCCGCGGCATTCCCTCTTGTCTCACTGTGGTTCATTTCATCTGGTGCCATCCGTTCCCGGGGTTCGCTTTTCTTAAATCCCCCGTCTTTTCCCCGGCTTCTCCTGCGTTCTTCTTTTGCTTTCTCCGGTGGTTCCCCGAGGTTTCTTTTTTCTTTCCCCCAAAATCTCCTGCCGTGAGAGGAACCAGCTGGCATCATGGCTATCGGCAATCTTTACTTCATTGCGGCCATCGCCGTCGTCGGCGGTGGTCTGTTCGGTTTCGATATCTCGTCGATGTCCGCCATCATCGAGACCGATGCCTATCTCTGTTATTTTAACCAGGCTCCTGTCACTTATGATGATGATGGCACGAGAGTCTGTCAGGGTCCCAGTGCTAGTGTGCAGGGTGGTATCACCGCCTCCATGGCTGCTGGTTCCTGGCTGGGATCGTTGATCTCGGGTTTCATCTCGGATATCCTTGGTCGTCGTTCCGCCATTCAAATCGGTTCCGTTATCTGGTAAGTGCCTGACATCGCTGCACCTTTGGCTCTACTAACCATGCATGTCTGCATAGGTGCATTGGATCTATCATTGTCTGTGCCTCCCAGAACATTCCCATGCTGATCGTCGGTCGTATCATCAATGGTCTGAGTGTGGGTATCTGCTCCGCTCAGGTACCAGTGTACATTTCGGAGATTGTATGTAGATCCTATAATATCTCTGCTGCATGTGGTGCTAACCTTTTAGGCACCTCCAACCAAGCGTGGTCGTGTCGTCGGTCTGCAGCAATGGGCTATTACCTGGGGTATTCTGATCATGTTCTAGTAAGTTCTTCCCCACCATCAGTTGCCGTCCCTCATCTCACACGTGATCCAGCGTCTCCTATGGCTGCAGCTTCATCAAGGGTACGGCGGCCTTCCGGATCCCTTGGGGTCTGCAGATGATCCCTGCCGTGCTACTGTTCTTGGGTATGATGCTCCTGCCCGAGTCGCCCCGTTGGTTGGCACGCAAGGACCGGTGGGAGGAGTGCCGCGCTGTCTTGACTCTCGTCCACGGTCAGGGCGACCCGAACTCTCCCTTTGTGCTGCGCGAATATGAAGAGATCAAGAGCATGTGCGAGTTTGAGCGTCAAAACGCGGATGTTTCCTACCTTGAGCTGTTCAAGCCTAACATGCTCAACCGTACCCATGTGGGTATCTTCGTTCAGATCTGGTCTCAGCTGACTGGAATGAACGTCATGAGTAAGTCTCTTCCAAGCCTGTACGGGTTGGTAGCAATACTAACTGTTCGTTCTAGTGTACTACATTACCTACGTCTTTGCTATGGCCGGCCTGAAGGGCAACAACAACCTGATCTCCTCCAGTATCCAATACGTGATCAACGTGTGCATGACCGTGCCGGCTCTGATTTGGGGTGATCAGTGGGGTCGTCGCCCGACCTTCTTGATCGGTTCCCTCTTCATGATGATCTGGATGTACATCAATGCCGGTCTGATGGCCAGCTACGGCCATCCCGCGCCGGCCGGTGGTCTCAACCACGTCGAGGCCGAGTCTTGGGTCATCCACGGCGCGCCCAGCAAGGCTGTCATTGCCAGTACCTACCTCTTCGTAGCCTCATACGCCATCTCCTTCGGCCCCGCCAGCTGGGTGTACCCCCCGGAACTGTTCCCTCTGCGTGTGCGTGGCAAGGCCACCGCCCTCTGCACTTCGGCCAACTGGGCCTTCAACTTCGCTCTCAGCTACTTCGTTCCCCCGGCCTTTGTCAACATCCAGTGGAAGGTCTACATCCTCTTCGGTGTCTTCTGTACCGCCATGTTCATTCACATTTTCTTCTTCTTCCCCGAGACCACGGGTAAGACCTTGGAAGAGGTCGAGGCCATCTTCACTGATCCCAACGGCATTCCGTACATTGGTACGCCCGCCTGGAAGACGAAGAACGAGTACTCGCGCGGTGCACACATCGAGGAGGTTGGCTTTGAGGATGACAAGAAGGTTGCTGGTGGACAGACTATCCACCAGGAGGTCACTACTACCCCGGAAAAGATTGCTTGAGGTGAAAGATCAGTGGTGTCGGTGATGATGGAGGTGGGTGAGGGGGATGATACAGTATTTAAAGTATATACGAAAAGGAGCTAGATAGACAGTTGTCGGCTTAATGCAAGATGAATAACATATAATTTGTCCGCTCGACATACTTGTGCAATATTCTTTGAAAACTTTCTATATTTTCAGCACTTGACACCAGATACTATTACCCTTAGTAAGTGGATACTATCGTGACTCTGAGAACCAGGTGATGGCTTCGCCGACCCAGGTAAGCACAGCATTACTCCAGCTAACTTCTATGTTGTGCTCACAACTTTGCACAATCCTGCACAATCCCCCGACTCAAACTAAAGAACATCAGTCAATCAGCCAATAGTTGCAAGATAGATCTACTTGTCTAGTGCGATAATCCACTTTTGCATTCTGCTTCCAGAATAAACCAAGTACCTGTCGCTAGTGATGTCATCCTGTGAAGCTTACCAACCTACGGAGTATTCTCTGCCCACCAGGTGGAGAGGTTTTATTGACATTATGGTTCTTGAGCAATAGAGACATGACCCACGAGTGGAGTCAAGACGAACTAAACTATTGCTTGTCCAAGGTGCGCTTCGATAGACTCTCGTCTTGAATACTCACGTTGGACTTACTAATATATCCCTGACAATTAGGTAGCCAGCTTATAGCACAAGGACATACTTCGGACCCAGAATTCAACAACTTAGCCACATCGAATCCTCCCCATCATCAATAAGCGAAGAAAAAGGGATTAACTCTCCCCTGGCGCTCTCAAGACCAACTCAAGCTTTCCGCGTGGATTGTCCGACTCCGAAGACAAGCTTTAGTGTCTGGCGCTGATCGCCCGTCGTGGAACCACCACTAGTGTGATTCGTTTACACCCACACACCCACGACTTGGGCTTTACAGCCCGCTGTCTATTGTCTTCTCGTGCAGATCGGACAATCGATTGTGTGTAGTTCTTGTTTTTCCTGCTATGGTTGTGCTTTCTTTCGTCGCATTGGTGATGACGGTTTGGTGGTGGAATTGAACGGTTTGTTTTTTATGACTGATTATTGGGGGTTTAGTCGTTGAGCAACATGTTTGTCACTTGCTTGGTGAGATCAACGAATGTGTTCTGCTGCGAATGTCCTGAACAGCCTTTGGCTAACGACAATAGCACGGCAATTGGTGCTTGCACAGACAGCGGGTCTTGGTTAGGCTGATCCAGTGTGATCTGCACTAGTCAGGGGTCTCTGTCGTTGAGATGTTGGAGTGCAAACGTCAGCATGTCAAAGTGAAGTGATGCGAGTCAATGGGATCAGCAGCGTTCTGTCAACTAGCATATATTTCCCGCAGCTCCCACCGTTTTCGCGTGATGTTTTGCACGCCACGCTTCTTCTGTCGCTGCTGTCAAAATGCGTGCCTCACTTCTTCTTCTCAGTGTCACGGTCGCTCTGGCTAGCCCAACGCCACATAATTATGTCGTTCATGAGCGGCGCGATGCATTGCCCAGTGTCTGGGTAGAGGAAAGCCGGTTGGACAAGAGTGCTATGCTGCCTATGCGAATAGGGCTTGCGCAGTCCAACTTGGATCGTGGTCACGATTTATTGATGGAGCTGTATGTTGTCCGATCCCTCCCCGGGACCAAGCTGATGGTTTAGATCTCATCCACGATCGTCTCGCTACGGACAGCATCTCTCCAGTGAGGAGGTGCATGACCTGTTTGCTCCGTCGAATGAGGCCGTGGAGAACGTCCGAGCCTGGATTGAGTCTGCTGGCATTGCTCCAAGCCGCATCTCGCAATCCTATAATAAGCAATGGCTGCAGTTCGATGCCCACGCAAGCGAGGTCGAGCAGCTTCTGCAGACAGAATACTACATCTATTCACACGCCGACACGGGAAGCTCCCATGTGACATGCCACGAGTGAGTCCATCTTCTACATGTTATGATGCCGCTAACTGGTTAGATACCACGTGCCCGAGGCTCTTCAATCGCACATTGATTACATCACACCAGGAGTGAAGATGCTCGAAGTGCGCGGCATGCCCTCCAAGAAGAGAGATACAGAGAAGCGCTTCCTTGGCAGTCTGCCCCCGATTCTCGCTCCACTACCAATCAATATCACCAAGATCTTCGACGACCCGCTAGCACACTGCGATCTGGCCGTGACACCAGACTGTATTAGAGGTATGTTCATCCACCCAACTCTATGAGCGACGCTAATTGTCCAGCCATGTACAACATCACCAAAGGAACAACAGCCACAAAGGGCAACGAGCTCGGCATCTTCGAAGACCTAGGAGACATCTACAGTCAAGAAGACCTGAACCTTTTCTTCTCCAACTTTGCCAGGTCCAACCCCTCCTTCCATCCTCTTAAGACACAACTAACACCACTCAGCGAGATCCCCCAAGGAACCCATCCAACCCTCGACTCCATCGACGGAGCCACCGCGCCGACAGACGTCACCAACGCGGGCCCCGAGTCCGATCTCGACTTCCAGATGGCCTACCCAATCATCTGGCCCCAAAACACCATCCTCTACCAAACCGACGACCCCAACTACGAAGACAACTACAACTACAAAGGCCTCCTCAACAACTTCCTCTACGCCATCGACGGCTCCTACTGCAACGAAACTTCCTCCCTAGACCCTCAATACCCAGACCCCTCCCCAGACGGCTACAAATCCCCCAAGCAATGCGGCGTCTACACCCCGACGAACGTAATATCCATCTCCTACGGCAGCCCCGAAGCCGAGCTCCCCATCGCCTACCAACGCCGCCAATGCCACGAATTCATGAAACTCGGCCTCCAGGGAATCACGGTGGTCGTGGCATCGGGCGACTCCGGCGTCGCCTCCAGCACCGGCGCCTGTCTAGGCTCCTCAGACAACATCTTCGTCCCCGACTTCCCAGCCACATGTCCCTACCTCACCGTAGTAGGAGGCACATACCTCCCACTAGGCTCCGACGCCGCCAAAGACGAAGAAATCGCAGTCACCCGCTTCCCCTCCGGCGGCGGCTTCAGCAACATCTACGCCCGACCAGCATACCAGAACCACTCCGTGGAAGCCTATTTCTCCACTACCAGTGACTCCCTAACCTACCCCTACTACTCAGAAGTAAACTACACAGACTTCTCCAACGCAGACGGAATTTACAACCGCATCGGACGTGGATATCCAGATGTCTCTGCAATTGCAGACAACATCATCATCTATAATCAGGGCGAAGCCACATTAGTAGGCGGTACCTCTGCCGCAGCGCCGGCGTTCGCGGCCATGTTGACGCGTATTAATGAGGAGAGGTTGGCGAAGGGGAAGGCTACGGTGGGGTTTGTGAATCCGGTGTTGTATGAACATCCCGAGGCGTTTAGGGATGTGACCGTTGGCGACAATCCGGGTTGTGGGACTGATGGGTTTCCGGTTACGAGGGGGTGGGATCCTGTTACGGGGTTGGGGACGCCGAGGTTTGAGAGGTTGATGGATTTGTTTACGAAGCTTGATTGATGAGATGGGGAAGATTCTGAGGCCTTAAAAAGGTTTTATTGGTTGTAATGCAATTGATTTCTATGAATCTATGACTTGATTGGGTCTCCTGCTACTATGATATTTCTGGGCTAGTATCATCAGACATATAGTAGACATTGGTCAGTGGGTTGATCTGGGCAGCTGCATGGCAATTGGTGTCTAGATGCTAGTAATATTGCGACTCTATATAGTAGAGATACTCCTCTAAGGTCTCATGTCTCTGGTTACTTGCGATATCCAGTTCTTGATTTATTAAGCTAAAACCATGTTACAGACTTAAAGTATAGTAGTCACTAGAAGCATATCAAAAGAAAAAAAAAGTAAAAGAAAAACGATCATGACCATATACAAAAAGAGCCAGTCGTGGCGTCCTACACGCTGCTCTATGTTATCGAACCCAACCCCCGCACATTACTTCGAACAAGGCTGAATTTCTTCCACGGCAACTTTCAGTTTCTCACTGTCTATTCGTCAATGCCAAAACAGCCAGTCGAATAGCGCGCAAGGAGACTCAGCACTGACAACACCATCTTGGCGTGGTCATGGCTGATTGGACACGATATCCCTGCCTTCATGTAGAAGGCTAGTGTCAGCTGAAAGCCCTTTCACTATAGTATCTACCAATAATCACGAAGGTAAGCAGCAAAGACTGCGATAAATGTGCAAATCATATACTTATTCTGTCTCTGCCCCTCCCCCGCATACCTTACCCTAACCCCCTTACAGCCCAGTACCTAAACTATACCTCCATCCACCGAGCGAAAGGCTGTTCTCTCCCTCTTTCTTCAAAGAACTTACACACAAAAAGCCAGCCATCTGCACAGAAATCTACCATCAACAATGTCCGCTGGATCCACATTCCGCAACCACTTGTCTCAAGTATAGAGAGATGGGCATAAGATTTTTGGAGTTGCTTGTTGGATTGTTCGTTTTAGCTAAGATATGTGGGATGTGAGCGAAGCAGTTAGTTGATTTGGCTCTAGATTTGAAACTTATCCCGGGAAACACAGTGTTGGTAGCGTATAATTCACTAACCAATTGATGGTTTTCCAACTTACTTACCTTCTCTAGTAACATACGAGCTATAATGTCAACGATGGCCTCTACTGCCTACTTGAAACCCATGAACTATTTTATCATCCCATTTACCCAAGTGAGTATCAGCAGTATGGAGACCAAATCTATTTTCACATTTCTCTATCTCCTACACAAATATATACCCATCACATAATCGTCATCATCATACAAGCGAGAGTTCCCAGCGACCAGCACTTAAACAATCACCTTATGGCCAGCAGGCTTCTCCTCCTCCTCACCGAAGATGTCAATATCCCAGCGAGGCTTGTTAGCAATGTAAGGAGTGTTGTAGCGTCTGCGGTCCTTGCCCAGCTCGGACACCTTGGCGATTTCCTCGGGAGTGAGCTCCACCTCCTTGAAGTTCTCCTGGATGCGGGACGGCGTAACCGACTTGGGGATGACACTGTGGCCGCCGACCTGGGACCAGGCCAGGACGACCTGAGCGGGGGTGACGGTGGTGCCGAGGCGCTTGGAGGCAGACTCGGCGACTTCCTTGACTTCGGGGCGGGTGACGAGGAGGGGGACACCGAAGCCGTTGTTACCGAAGGCCTGTATTCATTGTATATGAGTCTTTGTTTTTGGAATGATTGTGGAGAGGGTATGGAGGGGAGGCGTACGGAGTAGGCAGTCACGTGGATGCCCTTCTTCTGGCAGTATTCAATGAGCTCGTTGCTCTGGAGAACGGGGTGGCGCTCAATTTGGTTGACAGCGGGAACGACACCGGTGGCGTTAATGATGGCCTCGAGCTGCGGGAGGTTAGTAAGCGTTGATGAGGAGTGGGTATGAAGCGACTCACGTGGGGGATCATGTGGTTGGAGACACCGACGGTGCGGGCCTTGCTCTTGGGGAGCTGGGTCATGGCCTTCCAGGTGTCGACGATGGAGATGTTGTCGTTAATCACGACATCACCGCCCTCAACGGAGCTGTCCTTGACGAGGGGGAAGAGCTCGGAGCCGGTGGTGAAGGAAACGGGCCAGTGGACGAGGTAGAGCTGGAAGATGTTAGTGATTGTTGGTGATGTCGGTCATCAAGGTACGCACATCGAGGTAGTCGAGCTCGAGCTCAGCAAGGCACTCGTCCAGAGCCTTCTCAACAACGGCGGGGTCGTGCTGGGAGTTCCACAGCTTGGAGGTCTGCGGGGGTTAGTATAGGCTGGAGGTGGGATGTATGGATTGTGCTTACGATGAAGATGTCCTCACGCTTGAGGCCAGGGACATCCTTGTAGGCTCTCTTGATGCCCTCGGCGACCTCGCGCTGGTTCTGGTAGCTGCGGGGGTTAGCTTGTGTGGTCGATTCGAAGTGTGGAGTGAACCTACATAGTAGCCAGATCCTAGATCATGTTAGTGACTGGTTGTTCACCGAATACAAATTCAGGATATATGACTTACCAAGTGGCGGTAACCGGCCTTCAAGGCCTCGTAGACGGCATCACCGACCTGACCGGGGGCAGACTGCCAGGTACCAAATCCCAGCTGGCTAATTGGGGTCAGCAATTGCGACTGCGCAAGGGCAGATACCGGAGATACATACGGGATCTGAGCACCGGAGTTGAGAGTAATCTTCTTTCCGAGAGACATTGCAAGAGGATGTGATTCGCGAGGAGAATAGAGATAGGAGGGATGAAGAAAGAAGGAAAGATTGAAGGAAGAAGAGGAGGGCGAGCGCGACAGAAATAGGGAGCGCTTCCAGACGGCCGAGGTCCTCCGGTGGGGGTCACATAGCATGGCTCTAGTCCATCATCGAAGTCGATGGAGGAGGTGCCGCGACGATGAGTGGCTGTTGATGCTTTTCGAGGGGAAGTTTACCCCGCCAGCAGTAACTGGGACCCCTCGGTGGGGCGTGCGTGGGATGTTCCCATTCCCATTCCATTCATCTTCTGAGATACTTCTCGGTCTGTCGGTTAATTCCGACCCCGAGAAGAGAAAACCATGGTCACACACGCCATTTATTTCCCGAGAATTGAGGTTGCAATGGTATTTTGTCCATAGCTATTGTGTTTTCGATTCTGACGGAGTACACACCTCCAGCAGTTGATGGCAGTCGAGAGAAAGTCAGAGACAGTCAGTGATGATGTCAGGCGGCAGACATTCCTCCGAATTCTCCTCCCCGCCAAAACACGTTTCCTCTTTGGGACCCCTACAAATAATTTTCCACCAATCACTGTCCTTGTTATATTTTACTCATGCCCCATTACTAACATTATCTGTCAGGCACATGATCTGAACATTGAGATTTCGACTCAACGATTCACATCTCGTTTGAGAAGTGCCATGGAATCTGGAACATCTCGCTTACACATGTCCTTCTGCATCATTGCATCTCTGCGGGGTCAGACTTCCCCAAATCACCCCCAAATCATCCGCATCAACCCGCTTCCCGCACGGATAATTGCCTCGTTCAGCAAACCAATCATCCGCTCGGCTTCCTCGCCGACCACCCCGGCTAATTTTGAGACGTGCCGCGCTTCCAGTTTCCAGTTCGGTTGAATGAAAAAGTCCAACCACAGTTTTTGTCTCAAGCTGATGTTGATCATGACTGCATAAAGCATGTCGGTCATCTGAGTAGACTCAATGCCACCTACTGCTGCCATTTATATGAATCTCCGGGGACTGGCCAGTAGACTATGTTGTGTCTCCATACTAGCTTCCCAAGCAACGGGGCTGAGTGCCCAGCTTACCAAACATGCTAATTAACGCCCAAGCATAGCGAGAGCAGCACGTACATCTGGATCGTATCAATCGTGCAGTCAATTTATCCGCAACACTATCTACAACACCCCCAATCCTGCCCTAGTCCGACATCCGTTAGGGACAGCCCATGAGCCGAGCTGTACGTCCGGGCCTAACCTATGCTTAATGCTGAGGCTCGAAATCTAATCCTGACGTGGCTGCTTTGGTTCTGCAGCTGTCAGGTGCCCTGTGCTTGCTGCAATTGCTGCAAGGAGGTGAACCGGCTGAAGACATTAGCTAGGCACTTATAGCTCGCAATGCCTCATCAGCCTCCTTTCTTCGCCCACCAACTCGTTGAGTGGGTGAAACCATCATCTGCTTAAAACCAATACGGTGTAGAGTCTTACTGCTAACTGTTCTGGGTATGGTAGATCATTTCTCCATATTCCGTCCACACTCGAGCACGGCTGGTACTGGCCCACCTTCATTTGCGGGAGCAATAACAGTCAGTATACGTACACCATTGCTGGATGGTCCACACCTGTCATGTTCTACCACCACGTGTGGCTTAATCTTGCTTCTATTTAGGGGCATGTGGGTTGAATTTATATTGAAACAGATATCTACTACTAGGACAAAGCTTATTACAACAGCTCAACATAGCTAGCCCTCAACTACAGAACAGAACTCACGTCAATGTTACTAACATACGGAGCATAAGCATCAAGACCCCTATACTAAGTACTGTAAAGCTGTTAGGTCTGAAGTACACTTCTGATTCTTCTGCGTCACAGTCATATCACCCATCACATCGACAGACGCGCGTACTGCATAGTGCCGGAGGATATAAGCAGTGGTGGCTCAGGGCGGCTGCACGAAATATTAATTCGCCGGTCGTCAACGATGCGATCCATCAAGAGCCGTCCGACAGCTGCGTGAGATATGCTGCGATATACCGGCATCTGCATGTGTCCGGATGGGCCCGACGCGCCGGAAATGACCCGACAAGCATCATTTGGTCATAGTCCTCATAGGGTGACGTACTCCGTGACGAGTGGCTTCTTGGCCCTGCAACGAGATAGGCAAAACAGCTGGTTCCAAACCGAACCGGCTGCTGTATAACGAGTAAGCATGTTACTGTGGACTCCATCCCTCACCGTCAGTTATTGTACACTGCTCAACCCTTTCCCTGCCTCTCTCCACGACCGTTCTCGGTTGTTCCACCTCCAGATTTCACTCTCCAGGTGTATCTGCAAGTAACGTGGCCTAGCTCCGAACGGGGCATGGCTGGATGGCACTAAGGATGGATCCGTCACTAGCGGTTCTTGGGCCGGGGGCAGGCGACCAATGGGGGCGGGGGAACCTTCACCACCAGGAACATCGAGACTCCACTGGGGTTACACTCAACTTCAGATCCTGACGATTAAATGGCCGGAGAAGGGCCAGACTAGCCCGGATGAGGTTAGAGGCGTCGCCAGCTGCCCCTTACTGCGTATTGTGTGAGGCCATGGCGTCCAGCCTGGATCCACCCGAGGGGGGCCCTTTTTGGCTTTTCGGCTGGCTGGCCATCCATTTCCTTTCCCTGAGTTACCCTTTCTTTCCCGTCGCTTGAGGCTCACTCACTCAACTTCACTCCAACTTTGACTTCTTCCATCTCTTCTCTCGTTTGGCTGCGCGCAACATGGCTGATGACGCGACTTAATCTTCGTCTCATGTCTTGATTTGTGACTGCCTTATTGTTCCATTTCTCCCCCTTTTTAATAGCGCCTCCCTCTCCCCTCTGCGCCCGTTTATATTGCTCTTCCGTCCCGTCGCCTCCCCCTCTCCGTGAGGCCCATCCCCAATGTCTAAGAGGCGGCTATTTCGCTGGCCTGCCCGCCGCACGGCCGGCCTGGGATGTCTTGCGCTCCTTGTCACCTCCATGGTATCTTGGTATCTCTATGGTACACGGCCCTATGAACCCCAACCAGGTATCTATACTTTCTCTCTGCAGCTCACGTGGTCCGTGTGCATCATCACCGACATCATGCTGACCCAGCCTTGTCTCACCAGTCCACCAAGAACCTCCCAACAACGACCACGACATCGTGACATCTCAACTGGCCCAACTTACCAGTACTTACAGCAATGCGACAAATGACATTGGCTTGGTGTTGGCTGCTACCGTGAAAGAAGACCTCACCTGGCTCCTCAACTACTGCAAAGACCAGTACGATCCTACGTAGCCACCAGGCGATAGATATCATACTGATATACCTCTTCCAGCGGCTCGATTCCCTTCATCTACACGACCGACCAACCCCCTGCCCCCTACCTCCTTGTTCCGCGTACCATTCGCGGCCGCGAAGCCGCCGCTTACCTTTCCTTCGTCGTCGACTTCTACCACCAACTTCCAAAGTACACCATCTTCATCCACTCGAACCTGGACCAATGGCACAATGACCTCTTCGGTCCCCACACCAGCCCCGCGCTGAAGAACCTCCGACTCGAGGCCGTCGACGCGCAGGGTTACGTGAACCTTCGATGCGAGCACGACCCGGGATGTCCCACGAGCGTGCACCCCTGGAGCCCGACACAGATCGATATTGAGAAGGACGACATCCGCGCGTTTTTCCCGGAAGTGTACGAGACCATCCTGGGCGTACCGGCTGAGAAGGTGCCCGAACACATCGGAAATGTGTGCTGCGGACAGTTCGCTGTCAGCCGGGAACGGATCCTGGAACGGCCACGCGAAGACTACGAACGCATGCTGAAATGGGCAGAGGAGACGGAGCTGACGGATAGCTTTGGTGTGGGATGGGTGTATGAGAAGATTTGGCATATCATTTTCGGAATGGATGTGATATAGTAAGTTGGCCTACAACTCGGTGGGAGAAATGCGGAGAAATGCTAACGGGTATAGTTGCCCCCGGTACGAGCAATGCCGGTGCGATACGTACGGATGGTGTGGACCGCTGGCGTCTGGTGAGACACTGCAGGCAGTGCGAGCGAAGAAGTCATAATCTAATGGATGATTGTTAATGCATGATGTATACTATCATGATTGGGGATATCGGTTGCATTTGGTTTGGTTTTCTTTGTTATGATTCGTGAATTAATGTACAGTTAGATATTCTTATCTTCGTGAATCTTTTTTGGACTATTGACCGCTCAGGTATATACATTGGATATGCAAATCATAAACTGCAGCGCATGCTACTCATGGTTAATAGGTTGCTGATGCGTTCCTCGCACGGGCCCTGCATCTAGCTCAAACGTTGGCCGTTGTACTGGACTTCCGGGCGCCTCATGCACGTCACCACTATCCAGCAACGGCACATCCGTCTCCGACGGTCGCCTCCGGGGGATCGGATGCAGGAACAGGGATCGTCCATCCGCATCATTTGGCGGCGACGCAGATGAGCGATCTCCTGGGACCAACGCAGCAGGGAGGGGCGGAGACGTCGACATGGAGACCATAGATTCCCTGTTCATCTCGTTCGATGGCGGTGGCGGCGATATCGGTTTCCGGGGAATGGCACTAGCCGCAATAACAGGGTCGCTATTCTGCCTGAGTACGGCGGGATTCGGGACTCCGGTAACAGGCTTCTCATCACCAGCTGCCGACTCCTCGTCTCGATTACTACTACCACCGCCGCCCCGAAGGCCGACCCCGACAGGCGTATACATCATTTGGCTCTGATCATCCTTCCGTCTTCTGCGCCGTTTCCGCTGTTTCCGATACATCATCCACAAACCAACAAGGATGAGAAGGACCAGTACAATCACGGCAATGGCGATACCGGCTTTGGCGCCCGCACTGAGTCCGCTGCTGGAACCGTCGGTGCAGGTGTAAGAACCTTGAAAGGCGCCGTTATTGTTGTTATTGTTGTCGCGGCGACGGCGGGTATTATTATCGTCGTCATCGTCGTCATCACGAAGAGAGTTGAGACTCGAGCATCGAAACGACCCGCCATGGGAATTAATTACCGTTTGTCCTTTGACCTTATCGAGATTCTCGAATTTGATCCTGCCCAACGTTAAAAAAAAAATCATCCCTCATAAAGCAAAGGAAACGGAAAACCCACTCGTTAAAAGTCCCCTCTAAAATCAAGCTCCCATCGACATCCTTCAGATCCGGGAATACAATATCCCTCAACTCCTTGTTCCCCTCAATATCAATCTCCCCGGGGACCTTTTCCAAATCTGGAAACGACAAGTTCGTCAAGTCATCATTTCCAGAAATATATATCTTCCCGTTCACTTTCTGTAGATCCGATGCTGCGAACGACGTCAAGCCAGATACATCCTGGATGGTGATGCCGCCATTGATAGTCTCGACATTGGATAGGGAGATACTGCCCGTCGCAGAGGAGGAGATAGTCAGGGTACCGGAGAGGGTATCGCACGAAGAGAGCGAGTCCGCATCAGATTGAGAGGATATCGTCGAAGTGGATGAACCTATCACACCACACCACCCACTGATTAGTTGCCTGGGGCTTTCTATCACGAACGTTAAGGACAGTACAACTCACAGTTAGAGTTATCATCCCCCGCAACCAGCGGTACATGTACCTGCAGGAGTAATCCCAGAACAAGGAGCCAGTAGCGTGTGCGTGTGCGTGTTTGGGAGGAGGAATTGAGGTGGCTGTATAGTAAGGGTATCATATCATCGGAACGCAGCACCACCACCAGTGCACCAAATCGTCGAGAAAGAGAAGGAAGAAGAAGAAGAAATTGAAACCAGGGTATATCCTCGTAACTCAAAACTTTAACTAGCAGTAACAACAACAACAACAACAACCATAAACTCGTAAAGTGGGTATGTATGTTGAATAATTAGGGTATCAATACATCATTCGAAGTGGACTGGACGCATAAACACGAGAAAGTAGGCAGTAGGCAGTAACCTGAGGGTGTAAGTTGTGAGTGGTATGGGTAGGGGTGTGTGTGTGTTGAAGAAAAAGAAAGTAAGTAAGTAGTAAGTAGTAAACTAGGCTCCTACAGAAAAAGACGGGGATAAGTGCGGAATAAGTACAGCAGACAACAGTAGGTAGTAATTAGTGTTAAGTGGTTAGTTAGTTAGTGTGTAGCATGCATGCAGTGACCATCATGCAGATTGGAACGGACGGCACACACACACACAGCGCACGGGTCGGCACTATTCGAGACAGTAAAACTAGTAGTAGTAGAATAAGTCTGTGGGGATGGGTAGTAGCTAACTGACTAGTTAGATGGGGTTGATGTTTGGTTCTTACTTAATAGTGTGTTTTGTGATATTATTAGTTTAGTCTCCGACTAGAGTTGTGGTGGTGAGGGTGAGGGTGAGGGTGAGGATGTAGGCAGATAGATATCTAACTACTACTAGTAGAGTTAGTGTTGTCTTTAGGGGAGTGTCTAATTATGTAGTGGTAGTGAGTGAGTGGTATCTCCGATGCAAGTAGTAATAGCAGCTCGGATGATCAGCTAATTAGCATTAGCTAGAAAGATACTGTGTAAACAGGTGGTTTGTTTCAGCTGTTGTTGTACGGAGTATGTACCGACTGCATCCATTCCATTCCATTCCTCAGGATAGATTAAGTTACACAACCAGGCAATGGAAATTATTCCATGTTATCAAGGGAAAGAAAAAAAAAAAAAAATCAAGAAACCCCCGATACTACTACTACTCCAACTCTCAACCAACACCGCCCCATTCATTAATCTTAATGACCCACAAACGACACCAAGAAAAAAAAAATCAAGCACAAGCACAAGCACAGAGCAGAATAAGTTGAGTGGACTGACCGATCACCATGATATCATCTCTCAAATCATAATCATATCATATCATATCCTCCCCCTACTCATCATACCGTTAGCTCAGGTAAATTATTGGTATCCTGCATAAAGTGTACACCGCAACCATGACACGGCTTCACGGGCCTGATTAATGGATAACTAATCCAATCAATAACCGTCATATTGAACCCTGATTTACCATTTACTAAGTTACTTACTTTTATCTATCGATTATCTAAAAATAGTCCACCCATCTCATCACATTTCATTTCATTCAGGCACCAGAATTTCCAGCGAAGGAGAAACCAGAAATGAAGCAAACCCTAGACACAGTAGAAAACGGAATGATTGGAAAAGCGGATGGCCGGGTCGGAAACAACACTCACCACCACCCCCGCTTTTGTTTTGTTTGTAATGTTCAGGCAGAAGAGATTCGGGATGCCCGATTGGGTAGTGATGTCCGATTATCATCATTTTTTTTTCCTGATTTTATTTCAGTATTGGGTTGAGGTGGGAGGGTCGGAGATAAAATAAATGTGGCGATCGTATGATTTTATCTTATTCTTTTATTGACTTTATTCTGTTATTTGATTCTATTCTCCTACTACTAGACTAGTTATTACCCTGGTTGTAGGAGCATTGTAGGAAAGATTTATGGCTGTCGGACATGGATGGTAGCCAAGACACACACACACACACACGGGTCACACCCGCATCTAATAAGGTGCCGAGAAGCTTAGGGATGGTAAGTCTCTAGTCATGGCATGAGGGGAAAAGGATCTGTGGTCTATGTAGGTACCGCTCATTCCAAGTTACTATGGAAGGCCCTGCAGGCAACTCAATTAATGACTTGCTGGTTGATCGTCTCTCTCTCCTCGCGACGGCGGATGATTTTCGACCAATTATTTATAGCATGATTTCGGTAGTTTACTGAGACATTGCGGTTAAAATTTGGGCTTTTATTTTTAACTACTGTAGTTAAGTAGTAATGCGATTCAGTTTGGACCCTTACTTAGGCAACCCTGATACTCCATACTCTAACTCCATACAGAGTATGGACTATGTGGACATTCACCTCGGCTAATTCTATATCAAGCACAACTGAAAGACGACGCATCATTTGGATCTCCACCAACATAGGTGAAGATCTTCGGATAAGGACAAAGATACGCCGTTCGAGTTGAGCTGCTGTTCGAGCCAGCCACTGCTACAGCAGTGGCTTCCAAAGTGTCAGGCACTGTTGAGTTCTCAACCCATGCCCTGAGCGTTTCAAACACATAATCATTGGGATCGAATCCGTTACCCCCCTCGCAATGAGCAACTCCAGGTGCCAGGAAAAAGCGGTAATAGTCTGCAACACTGGGATCCAAATCCATCACCCGACTGTAATAATCCACTGTACCGTTGGTCGGAATCAACTCGTCTTGCATTCCATGCCAAGAAATCATCTTTCCTCCCGCAATCTTGAACCCTGTCAAGTCAAGATTGCGCGTTCCAATAACAGAAGCATATTGGTCAACTGATTCGCGGTAGAGATCGTCAAAGTCTTGTCGCGTTAGGCCTTGAACACTAAAGGACGAGTTTCTGGCCAAGAAAATTCGGGCCCAGTCGGCGCTGATACTAAAAGGTGTCACAGTACAGTTATCAACCGATGTGCAGGTCGTAGTAAGGAGGGCTGTTAGATCGGCATCATAACCCAGTCCGTACCACTCGAATTGATCTTCGAGTGATATGGGTCCATCCCACATGCCTTGGACTAGCTCAGCCATCTGGTCCGTAATTGTAATCTGCCCATCCGGATCACTGCAATTTACTGTCTGGCCAACCATCGACGACGCTTCATAATGGCATTGACCCGGAAGAGAAATGATTCCGTCCTTTACTCCGTCCAGCAGATCACAGGCTTCGATGGCAGCATCCGTAAATGTATCGAGGACACATGCAGGCGGCTGCGTATCTGTGAGATATTGATGAGCATAGATTCCCAGACCCAGTAATAGTCAACACACCAAGAAGTTGCGCCAGGAAAGCAGGCCAGAACTCGGCCAGTTGGAATTTATCCCAATTGATAGCCGGAGAGCCTCCCACAATACCATCAAAGTAGGTCGGGAATCTCTGGGCCATCATATGTCCTTGTCGACCGCCGGTGGAACATCCATTCCAGTACGAGTACTTGGGCGGCGAACCATAGTAGATTTCCGTAGCCAGCTTTCCAAGTACAGCTGCCTCGCCTAGTGCCACACTGGAGAAATCCCATAGCGCCGGCCAGTTGGTATTGCCTTCGCTCACAAAGCCCCAGTCCGCCGTTGAGGCGGTACTATTGTGTCCCCCATCGGTCGAGGAGGATGAGTATCCGGCAGCGACGGGAGCTATAATTTCATCAAGCCCTCCAGCTACCCATCCACCACCCCCATCCATGAGAAAGCGTGAGTTCCAGCTGTTGGCATCAAGAGGCAGTCCGATGTAGGTATTGACAATGTCGTTCTGGCCAGGGTGTGTGTACTGCAATGACACGATGCAGACCTCTACCGTCGCTGGCATTTGGCCTACGGGTGCTGAGGTGGTTCCACTCGATAGTGAAGCATTGGTGGCAAAGTTGTGTGCAGCGGTGACATTGAGCGACAGTATATTGATGTTGCTTAAGTCGAGAGACGAGAACGTCTCTTTAGTGCAGGAACTTGATGCTGCCGTTACCCCAGACAGGGATAATATCGACATTGAGGTCCACGCCATGGAGCGGAGAATCATGTTGACCGATTCGATGCGTTGACAATGTCTGCGAGGATCCAACTCGTTAGTATGGCGGAAGGACGACGGATAGAAGAACTGCAGACCAGAATCTGCGGAAACGGTTGCCGCATGTTACCCGTTATGTCGGATGCCAGCTGCAGACCGATTTATAGGATGAAGGCAGCGTCCACCAGCTGCTCTCATAAACAATCTCAACGATGTCTGAGAAGAAGATCTTCGCTCGGGAAAGAACAACGGCAGTCATAATCCTCCCCCGCAGCTTCACAAGCTCCGGAGAAAAGTCCAGATGACGCGAAACCAAAAAGCCCGTCGAAGGTGGACCGGAATGAACCATACAGAGACCCGCAAATTTTTATTCTTCTTTCCAGTCCAATATTCCGTCAAACAAGCGTATTGCTGGTATCACTGTAAAAGAGGAGTAGTTCAGTCCCCAAGCAAAATGCGCGAGAGAACATTGGTCAGAGTCCAAACGTTATGAAGCCGGATGAAGATTTCGGCATTGATTAGCGTGGTTCGTGCACATGCAAAGGTAGTGTTTGCAGACTTCTGCAATCGATCCCCACATTTCGCTCGACTGGTTTGTGGGGTAGACAGTGTTTCCCCGGGCGGGGGAGGCTCAGGTGGACGGGGGAGAGGTGAGGGGTATCCTGGAGACCATTCAGAGATTATGATATTATGACATATGTTGTTGTACCAAGAAAGGTGGTGATGATGTCTCACGCAGTGTACAACCGAGCCATAAGAATCACAGTCTCTCAAAACCCTCCAGAAGGGAAGGATTGGAGTGCAGTTGATGGTGTATCGGGAACGTTGGTTTCGGTCGGAGAGCATCCGCTCCAGTATTGCTACACATCTTACCTGGGAAGGTTAGTGTCGATTATGTCTATAAAACATGGTTGAGGGAAACTCAGGCAGGAATCTCACGTCACATATTTTGGGCCATCACTCTGTATACTCCAGGGGTTTCTGAAATGTTCTTAGTATTTGTAAGATGGAAGCTCTCTCCCTTCGGACTGATGATGCCTTTCCCATGGGGATCTCGAAAATATTACCTGGGCTACTACTCCGTACTAATATTTTGGAGGCTATTATTCTGGAGCTATAACAAAATCAACACCTTGGATTGTAGTATGCTGATTACCTAAAATGTGAAATGACATAGCAGTCAATTTACGTCGTGTCAGTATGAATCAGATAAACAATGTCCCTCAATTGAACGGTTTGTATCGTTGGCTAGAATCGTGTATTATGCATGACCGAATCCCCCGGCACTCGCTCCTAATTATGTACATAAGTTGCTAGAATTCTACATCACAGCTAGGCCAGTTCATAACGGATCGTCTTCGTCGTTTTCAGCTCCTGTGGCGGCAGCTCCTGGGGCGGTTGCTCCATTGCAGTGTCGGTGTCCATCTCTGGGAAATTGTACGAGGCAGCACCCTGCGGAAGCTCCGCAACCTCTCGTGGCTCGAGCTCTGCGGCCTGATAGCCGCCTTTGGAGTCAGTGGTCACATTCTTCTCCGGTGTTACTCCGGCTCCATTGGCGGCTTGCTTCCTCTTCTTGCGGAGGATGAGAAAGGCCACAGCAGCGATTAAGGCGGCGCCAGCAACGGATCCAACTACAATACCAGCAATGTCTCCTCCAGAGAGCCCACCTGAGCTTCCACCACTTTCCGCGTCCGTGCTTGTTCCGTTGGTGCTGGATCCCGTGCTGCTTGAGCTATTGGAGCTCCGTAACATCAACAGATTCGCAGTAAATGCATTCACGGCGCTCATCGAACTGAAGAAATTGGGATCCTTATCATATGTCGATTTGGTCCAATCGGAACCACAGACAGTGCCGTTGCTCATGCCGCTGCATTGCTTCGCAACAGCCTCTGCAGTGTTCCGGAGGAGAGGCTCAATCGTGTCCACAGTCTCTGGCATGAGGCGCGTCGCTGCCGCAAGGCATGATGCCAGGAGGCCCTTCAAGGCGTAATAAGTATCATCGTCCCAATTTGCACCGGAGAAACCTGTGCCGGCTTCCAATTTAATTCCAAGTTCCTGTATCACACCATCGTCAACAAACGTGTTCATGATGGTATTTAATAGCCCTTCTGCCCTTTTCTTCCAAACAGCTGCGCCGGTCTAGTTTAAGCCCACATGATTAGCCATAGCTTTCTTGCACACCATGATGGAGCCTTTGTAAACCTACCACACTATACATGTATGCCGCTGCGCTCATGTACAAACCATAGACATATGTGTATTGCCCATTATTCGTACTCATCGCCGTACAATCTCCTGAGGCGGTCGTATTCGTCACCAGAAAATTGACGGTCCAATTTGACTCCACCACCATATCGTTATCCACACACCAGTTCCAAATAGTGACTGCATCGTCTGCATAAGAAGATTGGTTATCACCCGTGGTAAGATATGCTAGTCGCGCGGACAATTGCAGGAACTCTCCGTTGCTCAGGGCGTCTTTCATTGACTCGTTCGCCGGTTGTAAAACACTATTGCCGGCTTCGAGGCCACCGTCGCACACAGTTGAAAATGTGAATGTACTCCTCATGGTCCCCTGAGCCTGACCGGCATAGGTCAGCCAAGACTTTTTGGTAGAGTCGGCTGGGAAGCCCATCTCAGCCGCTGTTACAGCGCCTAGTGCCCAAGCTCCATGGTTCATGTTGGTATCATTGTCGGATGCCGCCCACCCATCTCCGAGTTCCAGTCCTGCCAT